CCATATAAGCTGCAATGGTTAAATGATTGTGGAGAAATTAAGGTAAATAAGCAAGTTCTGGTTTCATTCTCTATCGGACGATATAAAGATGAGGTACTGTGCGACATGGTTCCCATGCATGCTGGACATTTACTTTTGGGGAGACCATGGCAATATGATAGGAGAGTAACACATGATGGCTTCAAAAATCATTATTCGTTCATCATGGAAGGGAAAACAATTACTCTTGTGCCGTTGAGTCCAAGGCAGGTTTATGAGGATCAACTGAGACTGAAAAAAGAGAGTAAGTTGAGAAAAGAGAGTGAGCTTGAGGGTATGAAAAGCAGAGAAAAAACAGTAGAGAAAGAGTTAAAAAAGAGAAAAAAGATTGAGAGTGTTGAAAACAAAGAGAGAAAATCAATGAGTGTTTATGCAAAAGAAAGTGATGTCAAGGCTGCGTTCTTTGCAAAGCAGCCTATGTTTGTGCTTCTGTATAAAGATGCTTATTTCAACACTAACGAACTTAATGATTCTTTGCCTAGTGCTCTTAAATCTCTTTTGTAGGACTTCAAGGATGTGTTTCCAGATGACGTTCCTAATGGTTTACCACCAATAAGAGGAATCAAGCATCAAATTGGCTTCATTCCTGGTGCAACAATTCCAAACCGACCAGCATATCGAAGCAATCCCAATGAGACGAAAGAACTTCAAAGGCAGGTTGAAGAACTCATGAAAAAGGGACATGTGAGAGAAAGCATGAGTCCATTTGCAGTTCCAGTGCTACTTGTGCCTAAGAAGGATGGGACTTGGCGTATGTGCGTTGATTGTCGTGTGGTCAACAAAATCAATGTAAAGTATCGTCACCCTATTCCTAGGTTAGATGACATGTTAGATGAGTTGCATGGTTCTTGCATATTCTCTAAAATTGATTTAAAGAGTGGATATCATCAGATTAGGATGAAGGAAGGAGATGAATGGAAAACAGCCTTTAAAATGAAACATGGTTTATATGAGTGGTTAGTTATGCTATTTGGATTAACTAATGCGCCTAGTACATTCATGCGATTAATGAATCATGTTTGCGTGCTTTCATTGGCAAATTTGTGGTTATTTATTTTGATGACATTCTGATATATATATAGCAAGAGTTTAATTGAACATATTGAGCATGTGCGAATGGTACTAGAGGTGTTGAGAAAAGAAAAGTTGTTTGCTAACCTTAAAAAGTGTTCCTTTTGCACAAATCAGATTGTTTTTTTAGTGTATGTTGTTTCAGCTGATGGAATTGCAGTAGATGAAGAAAAGGTTAAGGCTATTAAAGAATGGCTGACACCTAAAAATATTTTTGAGGTGCGGAGTTTTCATGGTTTGGCGAGTTTCTACCGGAGATTCATCAAGGATTTCAGCACAATTGCAACACCGTTAACTGAAATTGTGAAAAAAAGTGTTGGATTTAAGTGGGAAAGTGAACAGGAGAATGCTTTCAATTTAATTAAGGAAAACTTAATTTCTGCACCGTTACATGCTTTACCTGATTTTACTAAAACTTTTGAAATTGAATGTGATGCATCAGGTATTGGCATTTGTGCTGTTTTGATGCAAGAGCGGCAACCTATTGCATTTTTCAGTGAAAAATTGACTGGTGCAGCACTTAACTATCCTACTTATGACAACCAGATGTATGCATTGGTAAGAGCTTTAGGGACATGGCAGCATTATCTTTGGCCTAAGGAGTTTGTGATACATACTGATCATGAGTCGTTGAAGCACCTGAAGGGACAAGGTAAGTTGAATAGACGACATGCTAAGTGGGTGGAATTCCTTGAGACGTTTCCTTATGTGATCAAGTGTAAGCAAGGAAAGGAAAACATTGTGGCTGATGCATTATCTCGTAGGTTCTCGAAGATGGCACACTTCATTCCATGTCATAAAACTGATGATGCAACCAATATTGTGGATTTATTCTTCAAGGACGTTGTTCGTTTACATGGCATTCCAAGGACTATCGTTTCTGATCGCGATGTCAAGTTCTTGAGTTACTTTTGGAAGACATTGTGGGGAAAGCTGGGAACTAATCTACTGTTTTCGACTACTTGTCATCCACAAATTGATGGACAAACAGAAGTGGTTAATAGGACGTTGTCAACCTTATTGCGTTATATAATTCAGAAGAACTTGAAGAACTGGGAAGAGTGTTTGCCGCACATTGAATTTGCTTATAATCAGAGCGTCCATTCAGCAACTAACTGTTTGCCATTTGAAGTTGTGTATGGTTTTAATCCACTCACTCCTTTAGATTTATTGCATTTACCTATTGACGAACAATCTAGTTTGGATGGGAAAAAGAAAGCTGAAGCGGTTAAGCAACTACATGAGAGGGTGCAACAAAACATAGAGTGACGAACTGAGCAGTATGCAAAACAAGCCAACAAAGATGCAAGAAAGTTGTATTTAAACCTGGAGATTGGGTTTGGGTGCATATGCGCAAGGAGCGATTCCCTGCACAAAGGCGTTCTAAGCTGCAACCAAGAGGCGAAAGACCATTTCAAGTGATTGTGAGGATTAATGACAACGCATACAAGTTGGAGCTTCCTGATGAGTATAATGTTAGTGCTACTTTTAATGTTTCTGATCTTTCTCCTTTTGATGTAGGTGACAATTTGAGGACAAATCCTTTTGAGGGGAGAGGGAATGATGGGAATCAAGACGACAGCATATCTACTACGTCATGTGATCCATTACACACCCAAAGAGGGAGTCACGCAAGCTAGGAAGATGCGAGAAGCTTTAAATGGCCTTATTGAGCAGATCTGGGTTGGAAACAACATACAACAAGCAAATCGAAGCTTGGATGATTATCAAGGCATGATAAACATCATTCAGGTTCAAGAGAAGCTTAGTTGAGGTCATTTGCACGGAATTACACAGTTTGCGTCAAAATCACACAATTTTGCCGCAATTTGTAGTAAACTGATATTTCGTGTTATTTTAGGTTATTTTTAGTAATTTTCACGTTTTTTGTATTATTTTTGGGTTGAACATTTGCTTATTTGAAGCCCAATTCGTGGTTATTAGGTTTAGGACTTAGGGTGTTAATTTCCTATTCTGATTAGGATTTGGTTTCTCTATTTAAAAGGCTTGTAATCCTAATGGGGAGGAAGCTATTGAATCTGAGATTTTGAGAGACTTTTCTCTTTGGTTCGTTTTAGAACTTTACAGAACTTATCAAGATTATTCTTGTGGCGTTCTAATCTAACTTATCATTCTCGTTCTTAATCGTTCGAGGGTGTGGCGTCAACCAACTTTATACCTCTGGTTCTTGTTGCGTCATAGACAACGGGTCAAGGTTTTCACCTTCGGCTCTTGTTGCAACATAAACAATGGGTCAAGGTCCTATTATAAACCTGATTTAGCTTTCCTGGAGTTTAGAAATCCCTTGTCGTGCTGTGGGTCTCATTGTTCTCTTTGGGGTTCTCATCAAATGTGTAAGGCAATTCCTCCATCTACATACTTTTTTCTTTTCCTACCTTTTTCTACAAAGCTTCTAATATAGCTTTGTTTGTTACTTCTACATGTTTATTCGACTTAGGATACACCACTAAAGTGATCCAATGCATGATCTGTTCAAGTTTTTTCCTTCATTTTCAAACTGTGCTTTAATCGCAAATCTTCTTTTCCGATTCTATGCTAGGCAAAAGTCTCTAAAAGCTTTTCTAACAAATTGAGTTCCATTGCCTGTGAGGATTTTGATACTCCAAATCTACACATAATGTGTATTCTCACAAATTCTTCAATTTGTTCTTTTGTTATTCTACCCACAGCTTCAACTTCTATTTATTTGATAAAGTATCAATTGCCACAATGAGGTATTTCTTCTTGCCCTTAGCTTTCGGAAAACGTCTAAGTATGTCCATTCCCTATTACACAAAGTGTTTTGGGAACTACCACAATATGCAAAAGATTTGATAATTAGTGTTGAATTCGAGCAAACCTCTAACATTTATGACGAGAACCCCAAAGAGAACAATGAGATGGGAATCAAGACGACAGCATATCTACCACATCATGTGATTGCTCGCGTGACTGGACCTCCTTGGGTGTGTAATGGATCACATGACGTGGTAGATATGCTGTTGTCTTGATTCCCATCAATTTATCACATCTTTTAGCATATTCTTTAGCATTTATCTTCATTGCTGGCCAAAAATATCCATGGCAGAGGATTTTATATGATAAAGGGTTTACTGCTATATCAGTGGAATATTCCTCTTCATGGCCTTCTTCAAGCACTATCTTCAATAAAGGCAATCATCAATTATTATGTACCACACAACTTTTTGTTTCAACTTTTGTGCCTCTTCCTTATCTTCAAGCATATTTGCATTGGACAAATATTTCTTGATGAGATCCAAGGTCTATTTAAGTAACTTTTTCTTTAATGTTTGAGATCACTTTTTCAAATATTGAGGGGAAATTTAATTCTTCAATATACATTTCTTTCCTGATCCTACGACTCAAGAACTAGTTAATCTTGCCAACAAATTAGTTGTTGAGTTCTTAGCTTTTCTTACATGGTAAAAGTTTATACCTAAGGAAGGATTTTAAAAGCTATGTGGTGTTTTCCAAGTACCTCACCATAGCTTCCTCTTAGGCATTGAAATTTACCTTTACTTGGTTTATCACCAATTGGGAATCACTAAATATCTTCAAATACTCTTTTCTCACAACTTTTGCTAACTTGAGTTCACCATGTAATGCTTCATATTTAGCTTTGTTATTAGATGCTTTAAATGCCAACCTTAGTGCATACTTGAATATTTCTCCTTGTGTGATATGAGTATGATTCATGTTTTGCTTCCATTTTCACTAGAAAATCCATTTACATGAAAAGTTCATAATAGGTTTGGTGGCATCTCCATTGACTATTCTTCTTTCTTCTATGATTTTCGTTTTGCTAGAGGTATTGGTAAAGGTGTGTTAAGCACAACATTTTTTTTCCTCACTTAGTTCTATTATGAAATCTACCAAAACTTGTGCTTTCATAGCTCTTCAAAATTGGAATTTTATCTCAAACTTTATAAGCTCAATGCTCCATTTATCTAACCTCCCTACTAGGTCTATAGCTTATATAACACATCGTAAAAGATAATTAGTTAAAACTATGACTTTGTGCCAAAGGAAATAATATCTGAGTTGCTTAGCTACTATGATAACTACATATGCTGACTTTTCTAAAGGTGTGTATTTTATTTCAAGTCCTTATAGAACTTTGCTTATAAAGTATATAGGCCTTTGATTCTTCTAATCTCGTTTGACTAAAGCTACATTGATTGCTTCAATCGCGATAGTAACATATAAATATAACACTCTTTAAATAAATCTACTAATCAAAGGTGGTGATGAAATATATGTCTTCAACTAGTCAAAAACTCTTTGACAATTGCATGTCCATTCAAAGGTTTTGCTTCCTCATGGAGTTTTAAAAATAAGAAAGCATCTTTTTGTGGACTTTGATCAAAACTTGCCTAATGCTACTACTGTTTCCATAAGATGTTGTACCTCCTCTATTAAAGTCAAAGATTTCCTCTCTATTATTGCACACACCTTTTCTAGGGTGGTTCCGATTCCTTTACTGCTTAACATGTACCTAATAATTTCCCAACTTTCACTCTAAATGTGCATTTCACAAGATTCAACTTCATCCTATAGCTTTGTAATATATTGAGAACATGTTTAAAATCTTTAATGTGTTGCTTTAGGCTCAAATTATCAACATATACTTCTACCCACTTTCCTTTCAAGAACAGGAAGATGTTGTTTACAAAACATTGGTTTGTTGCACCTATGCCCTTAATACCAAAAGGCATTACTACGTTGCAATATGTTTTCCCAACTATATTAAAAATTACTTTGTCTTGACTTTCTTTTTCCATTGGGGTTTGATTATATCTAGAATAAGCATCACACAAGCATTTGCCTTTTTTTACCATGACAACATTGGACAACCAATTGCAAAATGTGATTTCTTTTAATCCCACTTTTTTTCAACTTCATCACTTCTTTTTGTATGGCTACAATCCTTTCAACACTAAACTATTGCATCTTTTATCTAACCAGCACAGCTTCTAGATCGGTCCCAAGTTTGTGACACATAAATTTGGGATTTATTCCGGACATGTCTACTGTACTTTATGTAAACACATCTTTATGCTCTCTTAAACATTCCTCCAAACATGTGGTGAATGTAGGATCCATGTCAACTTTGATATTCACTATCCTTTTAGGTTTCTCTGAGTCATATATCATAGGTTTTGTGCGATAATAAGTTTTGCACATTACTTTTCTAAGCTTCCCCATGTATCCATTATGTCAACAATTAATGCTTTCCTTCTCACAATATCACTTGCTGTGTGAACCTTACTGTTGCAATTTTAATTCCTTTTAATGTAGGAAATTTCATCATTATGGGTTATGTAAAAATCACAACTTACAAAGCATTCAAGCCTGATCTCTCTAAGATTGCATTAAAAAAACATGGCACATTGACACAATTTTTCTAAATAATCCTCCTTGGTGGTGTGTGTTGTACCTATCATTGAGTCAACAGTGTGCTAGTCAACATCATTGTATAAGATTTATATTCTTGCATTGGCCTATAGCATCCAATGCCTCTTTTGGAGGCCATTAGGTTCTACACAATAAAGGTTTGGTTTACCTCTATATTATGTGTAATTAGTATTCTCACATTGGATTTTGCTTTACTAGGGAAATTTTTTATTTTCTATCTCACAAATCTTGTTAAACATGTGAATCATATAATTAAATTCCTGTGCTTGGAACATTTTGGCGAAAATGGCCCTCTCCCAAAAGTTTCTCAAGCAAAAGGTTAGTTTTCTTAGAAACATAGAACTTGCACAATTATTGAGATTGAAAATTAAAAAATTATTTAGAAAAGTAAAAATACGTAGTTGGAATCATAGCTTTCTTTTAAGATCTATGCGAGTAGGAATTTGAGATATCTATCTTACTTTGCAAACACAAGTTTTGATAATGCTTTATCTCGATCGTTTATTATGGTTGAATATGATTCTAACAAAGCTTTTTCAAAGTAGGATGTTGTGTAGGATTTTAAGTCATGTCATAAATGAGTTACTAGATTTTAATACCCAAGACATTCCTACGTATGACAAATGTTTGCCTATACATCTTTGGAAATGCATATTTGTTTGTCATGTGTACCATGACTCTGACTTACTAAGTTTTGCAAACTTATTAGTAAATATAGGTATTTTTGTGGCAGTGAATTATCCACTCATTATATCATTTAAGATCATAATTGATTTTGAATTGATATATAAAAATAGTTATTTAAATTATGTAAATGAGTTATTGTACTATCTAGTGAGTTGTTGATTCACTTTTACATAGCTTTTTGTTCAATCATGTGGAGTTGAGCAAACAGCAGCATTTTAGGAATTCCAACAATCGACTCATGTTTCTTTTATTAGGCTTAGGCTCCTTCTTCTTAAAAAATGTCACTTATTCTTCAAGGAATAATGGATCGAAAGTTGTACACTCCAACTAATTTAAACATCAATAGTAAACAAGATTTGGTAATGGAATTAAAGATGTGACAAGGAAACAAATGGAGCACTGATATTGGAGGCTAAGAAAGATCTGATCTTCGGAGGATTCTTGGTGATTTGAATTTGAATAGTTTAAATTGAATTAAAGGTTGATCAAGGTGGGTAGTGGAGTTCTCGATGTCAACAGTTGTTTAGAAAAGTTTTGCTTGATGTGACTTCTATTTTGGTTCATGATAAATACGTGTTTGTTCTTCCATTATTCGAAACATCTACACTGTATGCATCTTTTCTAAATTGACATTCTCTATGATCTCTATTGTCTTTTTCTTTCTCAAACTTCTGTTTGCAACTTCCTTTTGTAGTTTTAGTATTTTTCAATTCCTCTTAGCTTCTTTAATTATGGCTTTTTCCTCTACTTAGATATATCATTCTACCTTTTCAACAAATCGTTAAAGCTAGTTGGCTCATGTTTATTTCAAAGATCCATAAAATCTAGAATCTATAAAATCTAGAATCTTTCAGATTGTCTATCAAAGCATACATCGCAACTCCTTAATCTAAATTTTTGACTTGCATAGCTTCATTGTGAAAGTGAGCTATCTAGTAATGTCTTGAACCAAGCCTACATGGCTTTCCTAAAAGTTGTAGGAAACTATTTGCACAAAAGAGCATTTGAAGCTTTTTAAACCATCATTCCCATGTTGAATCCTTGTACATATTCCACCAAATCCTATGCTCCATCATATTCTGCCAACTGCAAAAATTTGAGGTTTGATGACACAAGTTCTTTGATAACTTTGTCAATGAAAGCTTTTTCTACTAAAGCTGTGCATGTCACCTCTGGATACCTTAGTTAACTTGCCTCTACCTTCTCCATATACTAACACTTCACATCCATTTTTGTATATATTATTGTCATAAACTTGTGTTCTTTTGTTTACTAAGAGTGATAGTATAGAGGTTATGCCATTTCATGGTATGACCATTCCTACATTCATATGAAAGTTAGTAATCATGTCTTGATCATGAGAATCATACCTAGTGAAGGTGGAGAATGACTGTAGATCTGTATCAATATTTGGCTTCATTAGTCTTGAAGGCACATAGCTTGGTTATTATAATCACTACCTTCCCTCATTGAATCCTATCTCCTAAAAAAGCTGTTAAGCCCTTATAGTTGAAGATAATGAAATCCTTCGTGATTCTTCATGTCTTTGACGCACCTATCTTGAACCTGTGTCACATTGAAATATTTACAATATTTGCCAAAGATGTCACAGCTTGCTTGACTACCCTTAAACTCTATCTAGTCTCCACCATATCCTACACAAGCCTTCTAACTTGTGATGCCAACAACGGGTCTCTTTGTATTCGTTATTTTGGTGTACTTCTTGACATGGTTTTTTTTATGAAGAATTACTCGTTCCTCTATAGTTTCCCAAACTTTGAATATCTATGATTGATGATAGTGAGTTTTCAAAATTTGTCATGTGGTTTTTGCAAATCAAAAGAGTTGGCCCCAAGGTGGACGTCAAATGTTAACACTAAAAAATAGAAGAGATCATGTGGAACTAAATACTTTATTGATCAAGAATGGAAAGAGTTTACAATAAAGAGAGAATCAAGAAAATAATCCCCCTCCTAGGTTTAGCATTGGGTATTTATAGGATATTATATAGAATCATTCTAGGATCACAATTCTAATTGGCTTGGTGTTTGGTATTCTAGGTC